ATTTTGGCTCACTGCAACCTCCACCTCCGAGATTCAAGGGATTCTCCTCGCTCAGCCTCCCGAGGATCTGGGGTTACAGGTGCCCCTTACGTGCCCAGCTGATTTTTGTATTTTTTAGTAGAGACGGGGTTTTGCCATGTTGGCCAGGCTGACCTCAAACTCCTGACCTCAGGTGATCCATCCACCTTGGCCTCCTAAAGTGCTGGGATTACAGGCGTGAGCCACTGCACCCAGCCAAAAATACAGTTTCCTTAAGATAACTAAAAAATAATGGCAGGTCGAGGTGGCTCACGCCTATAATCCCAGCACTTTGGGAGGCTGTAGGTAGATCAGGAGTTCAAGACAAGCCTGGCCAAGATGGCAAAACCGTGTCTCTACTGAAAATACAAAAATTAGCTGGATCTAATGGTGGGTGCCTGTAATCCCAGCTACTCGGCAGGCTGAGGTAGAGAATTGCTTGAACCCTGGAGGCAGAGGTTGCAGTGAGCCAAGATCTCACCACTGCACTCCAGCCTGGGCAACAGAGCGAGACTTGTCTAAACAAACAATCAAATGTGTGTGTGTGTGTGTGTGTGTGTGTGTGTGTGTGTGTGTGTGTATATATATATGTATGTATTTTTTTTTTCTAGAGCAGAAAAAAAGAGGCCTGCTGGTATGAGGGTGGCAGGGGAATCAGGAGAGGCACACGAAGTGAACAGTATGCCTTGTAGAGCATCAAAGGGAAATGTGACTTCAAACAAGATGGAATTACAGAACTGAAATACTAGGCTGAATAAAAGGGAGGCTGACACTCACTTTTTATATCCTTTTTGTTGTCCTTTTGACTTTCTTTTACCTGCATGTAACTGCTGAGAAACCAACAGTTAAAACCTCCCGGAGAATTCTAGGAAGAGAGAAAGTTTGGTGACACTAAGCCAGAAGAGGCTGATAGTGGAGGCAGTAATGAGTTTTGTGTAGATAAAGGGATAGAATATGAATGACAGGAAGATATTATGTATTTCCGTTGAGACCAGGGCAAGAGGGAAGGTCACATTTAAGAGGTGCCCTATGGGCTTAGAGACGCAAGAATGATTTTTTTCAATGGAATAATGTTTCAAAATTATACTCTGCTGGGCAAGCTTTTCTCCCACGGGTTTAGGTTCAGTAGTGCCCTCAAAGAGGGACAGCCTCTCAATGACCTTTTCCAGACCATGATTAAAATTGTTTACCAGTTTTCTCATTATCTTGCAAGATATGTATAAAATAATGATTCTCCCCTAATCTGACTTGGCTCCTTTAGCCTGAGAATTTCTGTTTTACAGTCCTCTGCCCGCAGAATTTCATTTTATAATGCAAAAAAGTCAAAGGAGAGAGATGATCTTGATAGTCTCCTATGCAACAGAGCCGCTCACTTTATTTAAATGGAAATGTGCATTTTCATGGAAATTGAGGCCTATACTGATGAACAAAGATAAGCTGCCACTGTTAAATAGAATATTGATATATACACACAAAAAAGTACCCCAGAAAATTCATAAAAAACAGTGAAATTTACAGGGAAAAATGGGGAATGTTAAGGATAGATGTACAGAAAAATTAAATTTTTATGGTTTAGTTGTACAGTATTTTGATGGTTACTAGTTTAAAATCTCAGGACAAAGATTTAGGAAGACAGTGTGAATATATATATCTCTAATAAGTATAGTGATTTAATATGAAAAGATTAAGTGGCACATTATCTTTTTTAAGTAAATATTAGCAAACATCGTTCAGTGAACGTGTTAAGAAATGTGATGGGTTAGGTGTGATATGATGCTTTTTTGCGAAAATGTTAATGTGGCTGTTTTACATTTATTTTTGATAACTCATTTAAGAAATATTTAATGATTTTATATTGTGCTTTTCCAACTAGAAAGCTGAAAAGTAATCTTAACTGCTGCTTTTCATGCGTGTCTTGCGTCTCTAAGAGATGGAGGTTTGGTATATTTTTCCTCAGCAATGAGCTGTGAATCTAAGTACTTTTTGCTCTTCCTACTGTCAAGGCATTGATTCTGCCTGAATATCCTGCACTTGACTGTTGTCAGGAGCTGGTATCTGGCCTCTCACATCTTCTCCACCCCACTTCACCCCTGTCCAGCATCTAGACTACCACTTAAGCCATTTAATTTACATTTCCAAGGGGGCTACCTAATGGACAAAGGTGACGAAGGAATAGAGTCTGAGAAGGAAGAATTAACAGCTGGGGAAAGAAATAAAGGCTACAAGACAATCTAACAAAGTATTTACAGTTACAAATTGGGAGTGTAACCAGTGGTGCACAGATGTCACATAACGACTGGTTCTTCTTCAACTTGAACACTGTTTTGTCCACACTGCTGCTATGGGAAACGTTCACGCTTCACGCATCACAAAAATAAAGTTTTAGAGACATGACTGCTATGACTTGACTGTGTCTCCTGAAGGGCACATATTGGAAACTTAATCTTTAATACAACAGTCTTTGGAGGTGGGACATTGAAGAGGTAATTAGATCATGAAGGCTCAGCCTTCATGACTATTTTAATGCGGCAGGCTCATTATAAAAGGGGGAGCTCAGTCCCCTTTTCCTCTCCTCACTCATGTGAAGCTTTCCACCATGTTACGATGCAGCAGGAAGACCCTCACCAGATGCGGCCCCTCGAACTTGACTTCAGCTGCCAGAACCTTTAGCCAAAAATTACCCAGTGTGAGGCATTCTATTAGAGCAGCACAAAAAGAGCTAAAACAGTGATCTAAAGGAATAAATTACCCGAGTAGTGCTGGCCAGGGGCACAAAGAGGCAAGTTAGGTTATAATACTTTTGTTTCACAAATCAGTTTCATTTTCGTGATTTTTCTCAATATAGTTAGTAAAAGGACTCTTAGCATATTATTTGAAAGCTGAAACCATCAAAGATGAATAAAGATTTAAAAAGAGACATCAATCTACAGAAGTAACTACATGGTTTAGATAGTCCGTCTTTGCCAAATGAGATAAACCTCATTATGACTTCTTAGAGTTTGGGCACAGCAGGTAGAAAACTGATATTAAAACAATCTCTTTAGTCGTTATTTTTGACTTTTGCAGTATCCATTATACTTGCTTAGGAGAAAAATTTATATTTTAGTTGAAAAAAATCCCAAAATGAAAGAAACGTTTAATTTCTTACTATTGTTTATACTTCAGATACTTGATTTTGCCTCTCAATATTATGATTCAGACACTGGCATTTAGTTACGTAGTAGCACAAAGGGCTAAAACAGAAAATGCTTCTACTGTAACTACATGAGTATTGAACAGGCAGTATAAAAAGACATCAGTTTTTCTCAGGGGCAAGAAGAAGAAAGCCAAACGTTGTGTGCAATGGAGATTATTCAGCCTCCTCTCTTCTCTACCCCTTTGCTGTCTTAAGAAAACAAACTCCAAAGCCAGATGAATATAATTCAATCACTCCTCTCAATTATGCCTGCTCATGTGCTGTTTGTTCAGCAGAAGATAGAGAATCTGGTTCCATTTCAGGTTCTTAGCCTTTCTGATAAGGCAGCTTCTTTGGCCGAGAACATAAAGATTGTGAACATAAAGGCCCCTGTGGCAGCTTTCAGAAGGAGACCCAGCCATGCAGGAGACAAGGTGATCCGCTGTACATAGGGAATGGCGTGAAACCAGGAAGAACTCTCTGCAAATGTGCCTGAAATTCTTGAGGTAGTTCTACTTCTCTGTGTACCCGGGAAACCCTGTAGTTGACTTAATTCTCTGTTGTCACTTTCTTGAAATTCCTAACAAATTTTTAACAAGAGATTCTGTATTTTTCAGTGTGTTCTGGGCCCTGCCAATTATGTAGTTTGTCCTTCTGGGCGAAAGAAAAGGGGATTTGAAAGAGACAGAGGATCATCAGCTGCTTTCGTTCGGCCTTTGTAAAGACATGACACCTGGCTGGAAGGGCCATGCTTGCAGCTGTTCTGCTCTTTTCAAAGGATTAAACAGATTTCCAGCATCTAGAGAAGACCTATATTCCCCATCAAGATCCAATCTCCCTTCTCTCTTTTAGGAAAACAGCCTCTCCACATACATGTATGCTTTGAGCTGCATATGGCAGCCATCAACAATTCAAATTCCAAACTCTCTAGCACCTAAGTGTGTCCATGTTATTGTTATGTGGGCCACTGAGCTGTGAATCCTCTGTTTGGCAGTTTCAGGTTATTGCCTTAAAGACAAACCAGAGAGATTGAACTATTTCCTTTTCCCTCTCACAGGCAGGAAGGCAGATGTACTGGTGACCTAGCTTTGGTCATTTGGAGGAGGATGACATGCTAGGGGAAGGCAGAGCCAAGAATAGAAGGAACTTGGGCCTTGCAAGACCCCCTGAATGAGACTATTCACCTTGGGCCAAGCATCTGAAAGAGGAATAAATCTGTATTCTGGAGTCTCTTTGTTACTTGGCTTAGCCTCTGCCCTAACTAATGTGTAGCATAAATTCCTGTGGGGCGATTTGCAAGAAATTTGTATTTATTCAGAATAGTTGAATCATAAAGTGTCCTAAGTATTGGAAAATTCTACATAGGGAGAATTATTAATTTCCATTAAAATGACATAAAATTTCATTGAGCCAAATTTTATCTGTGGTGACATTTCTGCGTCTTGCAGAGGCACATGGTCATCATCATAAATACTATTTTGATTACAGTAAATGTCTATAGATGCTGGGGCTTCAGTAAATCTATAACCTTATGACAAACTCCTGAAAACTCTAGTTTCATTGTAATTTATCCTCACTATGAAAAAGGACTATAGAACATTAAAAGTAACTTTTGTGAATTTTCTCATTGGCAACAAGATGAACACTTAGTATACTTAACACACAACAAATACATACAAGATAACTTTACTTCTCTCTTGTTAAAACTTTTCAATGGCTAAAACCTAAGATTTAAGATAATGTGTTGATAAATCAGTTCCAGAACAATTAAGGAACCTTTTGTTCAGAAGTGTAGATTTGACAGTACCTGCCCCAATGACTCTCTCAATGCGAATTCTTGAGGGATCAATCTCCTTCGCAAATTCATGGACTGCTAGGGATGGGTCTTCATATGTATCCGGATCAATGTAAGTTTTAATTCCCGGGAAGCGCACTGCAACGAGAACAAAAAGATCGATTTAGTTTGAGTATCTCAGTAGTCTACGTCCTGTGAACATTTAAAATGGGGAATGACATACTGAAATAGTCAGTCTTACGAACAACTTAAACTCTCTCTTTTCTTCCAGTCCCACCCTCTGCCCATATTAGCTACGAGGGTCAAAAATTTACTTACCTCACTGTTAATGCAGAGTGACCTGGTGGATTCCTAGAAAGTGAGCTGACAGGTTCCAAAAAGCATATGTCACATATTTCTGTAAAATGTTTAATCAGCTGACTCATTCACTAAACTTCCAATACATTCCACATGTGCTCTAGCTCAGGGAGTGGGGAAAATGGAGGATAAACCTCCCTCCAAAAGAAAGAAGCCCATTAGGGTCCCTCCTGAACGCTTTGTGCTCTGTGGCGCCAGGTTTTATGAACTCATTCCCTATTCCTGTGGTCTCCCCTTTTTCAGAAACTCTCAAGCAGTAAAGAACTGACTCTGTGGCATACAAACAAGAAAGGCCAGTAGGGATAGAGAACATTCTCTTTATTCTTGCAGTGGCTTCTGTGGCCTGACTGCAACAGTCCTGAAAAGGATCAGCTTGTATAACCTGGTGGGAAAATGGGGATCAAAGGACCAAATCTGGTGATTGGTTGTACATCTGTTCAGCTTTATTGGTGGGAATGGTGGGCTCCCAGCCTACAGGCAAGTAGGATGATGACAAGGGACGCCTGGGAAACACGAATGTGTGGCTGTATGTTCATTTGTGAGTATCTGAAGAAGTCATAGACTGCCTCTATGAATATCCCTCAGTTTGGCTCATTTATTTATTTATCTTCTTTTTGTTAGAGAAATGGTATCTTGCTATGTCATCCAGGCTGGCCTTGAATTCCTGAGCTCAACTGATCCTCCTGCCTCAGCCTCCTGAGTAGGTGGGACTACAGGCACAAGCCACCAAGGTGGCCCATTAATTTCCATTTTCCATTTTAGTTCACTAGACAGGGGGTCATTTCTTATATATCTATCTTTCCAATATCTTAGGTATGGTTTTACATGCAATAATCATGCAATGAGTGTTTACTGAATACAAACTAGTAGGGAGTTAAATGACCAATGTGAAATTTTTGGCAGAGTGGGTGGTATTTGGTTTTGTTGCTTCTTAGATTTGGAAAACCATATAATACCCAGTGTTGACTGTTGTTTGAATCTCCTTAGAAACGTGCCCTTGCAAAACGAAGAAGCATTAAAAGAAAACAAACAACAGGTAATAAAGTTTGGAGGAAGTGCTGAAATGCCCAGTTTTAGCAGCAATTTGCTTCATTAGTCCTTCTATGCCCAGTGCCTATATTTACATTTTGTCTTCTGTCTTCTTAGTGCTACGTATGTACCATGAGAAAATTAGTATTTCTCAAAATAGCACAAGAAAAGCATATTTCCAGGTATACCTAGACCTGACACTAATTTTCACATGCCATGCTTTTCTTGACTTCTCAGTTTACATTGGAGAAAAGGAGAACAGATAGTCTGTACCTCTTTTATATTCCATATGACATTTTTATAACTTAGTAGAATTTGTGATTTCAGACTGAGTCCTATAACCTCAAACCTAGTAGCCACTACCACTAATTAATAGTGGTATCTAATCAGATGTGGTCATATTGATAATGTTATGTTAGCCACAGATCACAAGCATCGTTTATTAACTCATACATGGTTTTCACTATTAAACTATTCAATTACTTAAGGTGGTACACATTTCTAAAGAATAAGATCAGTAAATATCACATTTTTTTTTCTTACAAACATGATATGTATAGTAAAGAGGAAAAAAAAACCCCAACCAAACAATTTGAACTTTGAACACCTGGTTACTAATTTAACTTATCACAGTCTTAAACATCAGTTTGTGAAGTTTCTTCTACCTCCTTGGCTGGCTCGAGTTATTTTCATTGCTTCGTGCTGGGCCCATCTGGTTTGGTTTATGCTAACCTGCTTCTTGGGAAACAGATAATAAAAGCCTCAGGAGCGCCTTTTCCCTCTGCATATCAGTACTAAATGTCCTGCAGTGAATCTGAACGTTGCCCAGCATAAGTCAACAGCCCAGGTGTCTGGATCCAGGTTTCTGCAATCTGTTTACAGCCTTCCCAGGTTAGGCCTTGCCAGACATCAGTTCTCTCAGCTGCGCCATTGCAGTGAGACTCAGACTTACTGCCTAAACGCTCCTCACTTAAACCCTTTCCCTCTCCTGGAGGGTGGTATAGATGGAAAAGTCCTTTATTATCTTTTGCTCAGTTCGAAAGAAAAGAGAAATTTAAGCAGTTAAGTTGCCTCGCACATTATCTCTATACTGTGGTTAATTACAGAACATCCCTTTCTTGTTAATTCAGTGTCTCACAATAGAAAAACTGTCTTGATAAAGTAGTTTGCAATTTGGAACTGGAGGTGGAGGTGGGTGTTGAGGAGGAGAGGCTGTCAATTATCAAACCAACTATAGTGGTAATTATAGGTTGCTTGGGAAAAGATCTCTCAAATGAATATAACCTTGTAGTCAGCTCAAGGATTTCATACATATTCTAAGAGTTAAAGAGCTGATATTCTTTTTTAGTGTTAATGAATTGTAAATTGATTTGTTATATATTTCAAAGTCTGTACAAGAAGGAATAAAGATTCCTTAATATTTATTTCTATGTCTAATGCTCCGCTAGATAAAACCAACTCATGTTCTGAAGCCATTGTGAGTGGTAAATAACTTGATAAAGTCAGTCAACTATTATTTCTAGAAAATTCAGTCTGTTTTCCAGCAAGCAGAATTAGGAACAAGGTAAAGTTATTTAATGAGAAGCAGGTGCAACTTTCACCAACAAACCTGGAAACCTGATGAAAATGTTAATGCTGAAAGGCTGGAAGTGTTTTTTTTTTTTTTTTTTTTTCCTTTTTTCTCAACTCAATAGATACAGTTGGAATAAACTCCTGAAGTGTGGGAACAGTAAACATAACGGAAGAAAGTCACTGTGCTACTTACAATGCCCATTCTGTAAGTGGTTTCTTCTCTTCTCTTCTGACTTCATCTTGGCTTTTATGTACCATTGACATCTTTTAAAAAGATAAAAAGAAACTCGTTTTAGGAAGTATGGTGGATACAAACCAAAACCAATTAAAATACATATCATCTATGAACAAAGTTCTTGTCATAAAGACCCCTTTAAAAATATATAGTATCAAAATATTCTGTAGAAGGTTTCTTGCGTATATTGAAATTAGCCCTTGAGTAATGTCAGGTAGGTGGATTCAAAGGAAAGGAGTCTTAGAAAATATTTAATAATCTGCCCCTACCCATCCTTTATATGACTGCTAATAGCTAGAGTTGGCAAATAAATAAATAAATACATAAGTAAAAGTCAAAATAAAATAATGTTTTGAATCAGAATTTCAGAAATGTATACAAATGTCTTCCATTTTCATTGCTAAACAGCGGCATGGTTCAACAGTTTTAATTTTTAATATTTGGAATTTAAGGCATGTTCTGTCCTCTCTCTGGATAACCGTGCTCCCATGAGTTCTTCAATTTGAGTAAATTCTTCAACATCCAACATCCATATGATTTGATGGCTTATCAAATTTCTAATGGCTAAACAAAGTATATCTGTATTACATAATTCAATCTTTCAATGGGAATTTTGCCTCAAATTCTATGGCAAAATGAGTATTTATTCAGAAATATCTTACAGTTTTCATAGAATATTTTCCAATGAATGCTCCTCTACCAAAGTGTTTAAGTGATACTTCAAAATATATTTTTTCTATTTTATGTAATTGAAACTGTTCTCTTCAGTGCATGGAATGTTAAAGCAATTTCTGAGAACGTGTAAACTGGCAAACATAGAAACTGAAAGCTGTAAATAATTTAGTACACATTTTTTTCATCGTTAAATTCTCCTTTTAAGTGGTATTTCTAGTCTGTTCCAGGAATCCCAAATAAAGATAATATTTGAGACCATCACTCAAGTTTATTAGGCCTTACTTATTTAGCCTGCAAAGATTGAAATGTTTTCTTTTGTGTTTGTCATATCTATGTGTTGAAATATTTTCTGATGTCTTAATGAAATGCTTTTCCACATGTGTATGTGCTATTTAAATCATTGTTTATTGAAATACTTTATGAGAAAACAAGACCTTAACTTATGTTCTACAAGATACATATAATTGCATCCAATTTTGCAATATAGTGAATCACTATTAAATTCATTTTAAATAAACTTCCAGAGGATTTTTTTTCTATTATGGATAATACTGATGTTCAATAAAATCACATTTAAAAAATTACTCCCTTCTTCAAAGAAACTTTCAAAATGGAAAACGAAACTATTTCAGAATCAAAATCAACCATCATACCTAATTTATCACAGTATAGTTCCATTATATAATTTGTGTCTTTGGAATTAAGATCTCCTTAAAGTACAATGGGACTTAAATCAGCACATTCTACTCAAATAAAACTTTCTGGGCTCCAAAGCAAATTGTCTTTAAATTGTATGTAACTGCATGATAATTAGAGTATTCTAAAGATGTCAGTGTCCCCAATTCAAAATGCATGGGTAGCGTTAATGATACAGAGGGTAAGGAACACACAGTAAGGCTTATTCTTCTATTTAACGTTTTCCTGAAAAAGATTGCTAAACATGTAGCAATGCTAAAGTACTGGCGATTTGATTTTCTTTACTTAACCAAATTGTCATTGTGACCTTACGCACAACAAAATCATTTTATTTTCCTTTTTCCCTTTCTTCTTTAAACTTGAACCATTAACCCTCACTGAAACTTCCTTCCTTCCTTCCCTCCATCTCTCTCTTTCTTTCTTCCTTTTTTCTTCTTTCTTTCTTTCTCCTTCCCTAACCATACTGTCTTTTAATTCACCTCTTTGCAAGAGTCCTAAATGATATGAGAATAATTTTAATCTTTTTCAGAAAACTTAGACTTCCACCAAGATGTATAGGGATTTTGTTTATTTGTTATAACCAGTTAACTCCTGCTAGTGATTGAAATTTTCGTAGGCCATGTTTGGTAAGCTGCAGTGTAGAATATTTCATCTTCCACTGAATGGTTAATTGGTTTACAGACTCCAAAATTTGTTTTCTGTCCACTGTAAAAGATGAACTATATCAAAGCTCTGATTACGGCAAAAAGCTGTCAGAGGTCTGCCCTAAAAATAAGGGAAAAGTGTCCTAAGAGAATGCTGGACAACTGTGGCTGATGGTGGCAACATGTTGTACCCAAATTAGTACTTTTATTAAGACGAATTTATCATTATTTCCTGAATTCTTTCATGTCTGTTTTTTCCTTGTTACTATAGCCAGAATTATTCTATCAGCTAATTATCCCCAAAACCAAGAGGCCCCCAGATACCCTCTCTTAGTTCTAAGACCATTGCTGTATCTGTTTATGTACATAAAAAATTTAAGTAAACATAGTTATAAAGTGCCTTCTTTCCATTTAATTTCACCAGTAAGTCATTGTTTTTAACTCGACCACATCAGAATACTCATGTTGCTTTCTTTCTTGGTAAACTTACAAAAGGAAGTTAGTTACAGCCAAATCTAATACACTCTTATTGAATAGTAGTTGCATTTTTGTCAGAGACTCACACTAGATACATGCAAAGTAACTGTTAAGTTCTATACCTTTTGGTGTGCTATCAAAATTGTAAACAAGTTTTCATATATGTATATCCTCCGTCATTTTAAGTAGATTAAATTTTAATAAAATATTGGTCTCTAAGCAGAGTTTTAAAAACAAATGGTGTTTTTGGTTCACTGAAGGTAGCTATTTATTATGTTCAGCTATTTCTGAGGTGCCAAGGTTTTCTGGCAGGGTTGGTGGGCTTTAGCTCGAGTCTACAAGGGTGTGTACTGTTTGGCTGACATTCTTTTTGCAGTTTTAAATCTTGATAGTAGAATGCTGCAGTAGATGTGTATTTCAGACTATAAAAAATATCTGTTGAGGTTTCTTTTGTGCCCCGATTGATATCTAGATAGAATATTTTATCTTCTTGTTAGAATGATCTGAAGATAAAATGTTGTGATTTCTGACAAAAGTCTTGGCCAAATGCCATGGGTTAAATAAAAAAATAACATTTATTCCTTCATATAATTTTGTACATATTACCTTCATTCACATCTGTGTATTATTAGCACCTGGCTTGTGGTAATTATACTATATATTTTAAAGACATTAAATGATTTTAATATGCTTTTATATCAAACCTGTGTAAAAATAGAAAGCTAAGTTTCCGATGGGTAAAGTGTCCAAATTTAGGTCTTTTGCTATGTTAGATTTACTGTTACTTTATATTTTTATTCATATTACTCTGAAGTATAGAAATATTAGCTTTATAAAACCAATTAATATAATTCTAACATAGATAATTTCAATATTTAATTGATAAAAATATATTTCTATAACACTAAGTTTATAAAGAGTTTTTATATGAATTGTTCTGGTATTCCATTAAATTAGTTTTTCCAAGAAAATTATTTTTATGGTGTCATTTTTATCGTAAAGAAAAAACCCAGAGTAACTTATTGAATATAAATTCATCATTCACAGCTTTCAAATGCCTTTTATCATCTTTGGATCTTTCCATATTCAGAAAACTGTTGACACAGATCACTAACGATGGTTCACTGTCAGAGTGAACTTTTCCCGGATACGTCTCTGCCTCAGGTATGTCTTGTTATATCTGAAAGCATTGAGTATGCAGCGTATAAAAGGAGTGGTGATTCCCACATTTGGAAACAATCTGGTGTGCTTCAGTTACCTCCCAGTGATCAAGAAGAATAAGGTGAGGATGACGAGGAGCGTGAAGCCGCCAACGGCCGCGGTGGCTATCACGAGAATCTGTCCTTGTTCCGCTGCCATGTCAGAAGCTGAAACAGAGACACAATATTACAACTTCCCTGGGTGACACTTCACCATCGGAATCATTTTACAATTTAGTTTATACTAAAAAATACAACAACAAATGCCAAGCCCAGTATATTTGGCCTTTATTTCAGTATTTGACATATATGAAGCAAACCCAGAAGGGCTGAAGAGCTGGGGCCGTAACCCACAACATAAACCTCTCCTCTTTCTTCAAAAAAAGGTCAATAAAGTAGATAAATTCCCAGTATCCCTTATTTAAGATTAAGTATGTGCTGTAAAACTAAATCAGCAGATGGGCTAAAGAATTCCGTTACGTAATTGCTCACTGTATTTCCTCCTAAACACTTTGGCCACTAGACCAGGCTTTATAGACCGTTTTGATATCTGTTTTTACAGAGTAGAAAGACTACTGTATAATTCCTGTTAAGAATGATGTTCTTTATATTTCATAGAGCTTAATTCAAATACTAAAGTTGTAGACAGCACGAGGATATACATAGTGGGTGCTTAGATGTTTAATTAGCAATAATTAGAAAAATGATATTTAAAAGCTTTCTTTTTTGAAGAAAAGGCCAGATTACATATGGTTACAAAATGTTTTTTCTTTCATTGATAAAGCTGTCTCTTAAAATCACATGAGCTGCACATTTTACAAATCTTCCAGGGATGTTTTAACATATATCATTTCAATTGATTTATTAGCACTTCTACTTTTTTGTATTAATAATGCTTTAATCAAATATAATTTTAATGGGTACAATAGGCAATTGCTTAATAATAGAGATAAGAAAACAGAAACACAGAAAAATTGAAGAAATTGCCCAAGCTCACATAGAACTATAACCAGAATTCAGTCTTTCAGGATTTTGTCTCATCTGTTTCTTTTTTCTTTTTTTTTTTTTTTTTACCATAACTTGTAGTAATAATTCAGTTAATCATCAATATTTTAAAAAACCAATCAATCAGTCTCTTAATATTCCTTAAATTAAACTTGTTTCTTATTTTGACTACTGAAAATAAATAATATCTATTAATCTCGTTAGTTATTGGAGAAAATTGAATCAAATAAAATATATAACTGAGAAGCAAACTGCAGAAGTCTCTACCATAACCATTTATTAAACTTGAGTACTTTACAGCTTCCACAGAAGTAGATCTTTTTCTGGGAATTAAGTATGCAGTATACTATGTGCAAATTCATACCCAGAGTAATAACATTCTCATAAAACTAATGTATCTACTACAGAACGTCTAAGCCTTAAACACTATTGTCAAGTCAGTAAGAAACCACTTATAGCATTTTAGAGACTTTTAAAGAAATCTAAATATAAATAAAAACAAAAGTCATTTACATTCAGTTTTAGTAAGATAAATTTATTAAATCTTAGATTTTAGTCACTATGATTTAATCAAGACATTTTCAAGCAATCTACTACAATGTTAAATTTTTGCTCATACTCTGTGCAGAGACAAGTTAAACAGCTGCATCTTATCTAATAAATAATGTACTGAAGGTCTTTTATTAGTTTTTCACTGAATTTCCTAATCTGCAAAATAGCACTGATATCATGGGAAGGAATGTTGTGCTCTAAAATGTCACATTTTCCCACTGAAAGTCATCGAATAACAAAAATGTAACAAATAGATGTTCTAGAAAACATTATCTTTTTGAAGATAAAGCAGATGGCGTTTACTCATAAAAAACATTATTTACTTAAAAACTGTTGTATCTGTAAAATATATAGACTAGTTCAAGAATTTTGAATCAGGAGCATATTGTTTCATAGTAGTTAGGTAGCTATCATTTATTGAGTCCAAAATTCAGAGGGAGATTTTGTAATTGTGTGCCTTTTGAAAATCAGATTACTTTGTTATAAAACAAGGTGTTGGATGGGTGCGGTGGCTCATGCCTGTAATCCCAGCACTTTGGCAGGCCGAGGCGGGTGGATCACAAGGTTAGGAGTTTGAGACCAGCCTGGCCAAGATGTTGAAACCCCGTCTCTACTAAAAACACAAAAATTAGCTGGGCACGGTGGCACGCACCTGTAATCCCAGCTACTCAGGAGGCTGAGGCAAGAGAATCACTTGAACCTGGGAGGCAGAGGTTGCAGTGAGCTAAGATCGTGCCATTGCACTCCAACCTGGGTGACAGAGTAAGACTCTGTCTCGAAAAAATAAATAAAAAATAAAAAAAATAAAACAAGATGTTGTTTGACATACATAATTACTGATTAAACTGCTAATTCTACGAATATGTCTCCTTTGCACAGTGTTATTACATTTATAAACTTTGTTTTAATTAAAATTTTAATTGAATAACAATCTTAAGTTATGACACTTTGACAAATGCATATTCCTGCATAATTGTTTCTTAAACTTAGAACCCCTAAACACTCCTGTGTGGAGAATAAAATATGTTAAATACTTTTATTAGAAAATAAGAGTATTTAATAAAACACTATTATACTGGGAGTAAAATCCTATAGATTGTGAGGCTGGGATGATTATAGAAACCTCATCAACATTATGATCTTCATCAAGAATAATAGTCATTATTTAATAGGAAACTACACTTAGAGCTTCAATTCACTATCAAATTTGTCTTCACCGTGGTCTTGTTAGGTAAGTACTGTTATCATTCCTAGTTTGAGCAGTTACATTACTTTCTCAAGGTTACCTATCTTGTATAAGGGAAAGCTGGCAATCCAACTTCAATCTGCCGATCTCCAAGCTATTGCCAGTACTTTAAACCACCATTTTACTAACAGAAGCACTAACTAGATCTAGCTGTGTTTGTTACCCTAGAACAATCATAGACTTGCTTGAACTTGGCTTCATGTCTATAAAACGAGAATGTTAAATTAAATATTCTTGTCACAATCTTTCAGAGCAATTGTACTATGATATGGTGTTATCCATGCAGACTGCAATCAAACAGTGGAAAGCACAAGATTTGTCTTATGAAACAAAAATACTCAGGACCTTGGTCCTGACAGGGATAATTTTTGCCTTTTACCCTAATAGTGTTGGTCCATCACAGAGCTCTGACTTCCTTTCCGGATAAACTACATGGCCCTTAACTTTGTTATGAAGGCTATGTAAAAATGGCCCCAGCATATGTCTTCAGGCACATCTTAACATTCTCTAAGCATACTGAATTTCTTCCAGGTCCTTGAATAAGCCAAACTCTTAATATCTGGTCAATTCCTAATCACTCCTCCATGAATATCTCATCATTTGGAAAGCTTTTTTTTTCTGGTTGTTTAGATTTGGATAGGTCTCCAGACAGTTGTTCCCCAAGACTCTTAAACTATTTCCACTAACAAAACTATCACAATTTATTGAAATTACTTTTTATAATATGTCTTTCCCATTTGATTTCAAATTTCCTAGGGCAGGGCTATATTCACTATTATATCTATAGTGGGGTGAATGGTGACAGCCTTTCCCCTTCCCCTCAAAAAAGGAATCTGCAGGTGTAATTAAGAACCTTGATTATCCTGGATTAAGGGGTGGTCCCAAATCCAATGATAGGTGTCCTTAAAAGAGACAGAAGTGAAAAGACAAAAAGGAGAAGGCCATGTAAAGACACATGTAAAGACAAAGGCAGAGACTGAGGTTGTGCAACCCACAAGCCTAAGAATGAACACACCAGAAGCAAGAAGAGAAAAGGAAGGAGCCCCTGTTAGAGCCTTTGGATGGAGCATGCTTTTGGTCTCCAGAGCTGTGATCTATTCTTTTACACCATCGACTTTGTGATAATTTTTTAACAGTACTAGGAAACCAATACAGTGTCCCACCTACGTGGTAGTAAATATTCCTTTGAGAGAATGGGTTGAATAATTATTTGCACCGGATGGTTCTGGTAAGAAAAGGTCAGGAGTAATCCACATTGCCACCCTCCCCTTGATATGTGAAGGAGATTTACCATCAGTGTAGCTATACAATGTATGCGAAGAGAGTTTACCCAACACCAATCAGAAAAATTCGATTATTCTGTGTGCTTGGAGACAATGTTTGCTGGGTGGTAGAAGCCTCTGGGAATTCAGACTGCTACATTTTACCAGGTTGACTGGATTAAAGCTCAGAAATATGAGTCTAAGGTTAAGAATCTATTAGTTCATTCAATTAATATTTATTGAGCAACTATTATATGCTAGGTGCCAACACAGACACAGGCTACACAATGATGAACAAAACAGACACAGTTACTGTGCTCATGGATTTTCAGTTCAGTGGGGAAGACAGACACTGAATAAGAAATTACAAAAGTAATTATTGTTACAAAACGGAAACTGTAAGGTGTTGGAAAAGAGTAAGTTTCTCTAGCAGTGAATCAGATGACAGGGAATTTTGGAAACTACAATGTGTTGGCAGAAGTAAGAGGAGGAGCAGGATGATTTCCTTGGCTAGAGGTCTCATTAATTTGATTTATTTAAATAGACACTTAGATAAAGAAACAAATAAGCAAACCATGAAATTATCTACCAAATGGATTCTACAAAAATACAGTGTAGCTATAAATTTCTGTTATGAAAACTTGTCTATAGCATTATCCATTCATTTTTTTCAATCCTGAGGAGGAGCTTATTTCTCATTAGTTTTGTAGGAGAAAAATGTATAATTTACTCACATAAGTAGCTTCTATTGAAAGCAAACTTCTCCCTAAAAAGAACCACATTGAAATCCATAGAGCAAAATAAAATTTATTTGTGACTGGCTGATAGGAAATGATCCTTTGTTTAATGTCGAGGCTGTATTCTTGGACAAAGATACATATATTAAATTATGATATATTTCATTCTATGGTTTGGAAAGAAGTATACTTCCTTAAGAGGAAGCAATTATCCAAAAAGAATTGCAAAATTGTAACTGAGCAACAGTGCTTGGCATAAGTTGTGATGACATTATTAAGTGTGGTTTGTTTCCATCTCAAAGAAAAAAAGTGAAATGCTTTACTTGGAATCTAAATACTTAAAAAAGATATTTCATATCTTTAGGA